CGGTCTTTTTTTTTCTGGCCAGTGGTGCCATTTTACCACTGACTTTGGTCTGAAACCATAGGACCACCTCTTTTTCTTTTTTTAAAATTCAAACTATGAAGTCATCTCTGACTGCTCTGCATGGGGGCCAGGGGTTGGGAAGAAAAGGTTTTAACTGAGTCTGAAGGTGTTTTGCATATTTAACCAAAATAAGGGAGGAAACTGTGTTTTTCTTTAACTATTTGTAAGGCCTCCCAAGCACCAAATAATGCTAAAAAATTAAAAATGAAAAATAAACTCAGTGAATTAATTTAAATGTCAATGACTTTGGAACATAGGGATTACTTTGGCCCTAAATCACCCATGTAAAGAAAATACTGTTTTGCAAAAAATAAACATTGCTCATTATTGATTCTGTAACATTTGAAGAGTGGCAGAAAGAGGCCCGGTTGAATCATGTTTGCTTAGTAATCAAATGGGATGTGTAGTTCAGTGCAAACATGTTGTTGTAAACTGAAAAAGGGACCACTGGGCTTCGCACAGCTGAGTTCTGATGCTGGACTAGGTTCAAGGTCATGTCCTCTGGGTCTACTGCTGGTTTCCCACGGGAAAGGCTCCCTGCAGATCTGGAGCTGGGTGTCTATGATGGGATGTTCATTCTGTCACTCAGTAACATCTGTGTGGATCCTTTGGGATTATCTCTTGTCCCAACAATTTTACCTTTTGTGAGAGCTGGCCCTTCAGTGATGACTGTGGCAGCCATGTCTCTATTGTGAGTTGTCTTCACTCCTACCTGCCTCTTACTCGGTGACCAAACACCAACCCAGATCCTCTTTGCTGGGAAGGGGACTGGCAACCAGAGAGAGTGTTCACCTCTGTGAGAACTGAACTGTGGCTAGCAAAGCCTGGACTTTGAGAGAGAGCCCGTTAGTCAGAAGGCCTTGGACAGAAAACCAGCTGGTCTGGAGGGACAGAGATGGGGGCAGTACCATGAAGCCGGCAGAGGGATTCCCGAAGCTCTTGACAGCCATTATTTTTGGTTTCCTGGCTCATTGTTTAGGCCTTGACTCTGTTTTTCTGCCTTTTGCTTTTAAAATTCATCTCCTAAGAAAGTTTCCTTTTTTCCTTTTAGCTTTGAGTCTAGTTTATGTTTGTTCTCGCTACTTGCAATCTTAGAAGTTATAGCCTTGGTAACCAAAATGGTGGCTAGTGACCCAATGTCTGGGAAATAAGATAAGGAAGTGGGCATAAGACAACATCGGTAGCAACTTTTTAAAGCTTAGGACTTAGATATGACACAGAAATCACAAAAAAGAAAACATAAATAAATTGGACTTCAAGAATATCATCAAGATTACATAAGAAATTTTTATAATTCAACAATAAAAAACCAATTTAAAAAAGACAAATAGGCAAAGAACTCGATTAGACATTTCTTCAAAGCTATACACATGGCCCCTATTTTGAGAAATGCAAGTTAGACAAAATACGACTCCATACCTGTACCCACTAGGATTCTATAATAAAATAAGATGGATAATAGCAAGTTAGATGGGTATTAACTGCTCTATCAAACAGTCTGGCAGTTCCCCAAGATGTTAACATGGAGTTACCACATGACCCAGAAATTCCACTGCTAGGTATATGTGTAACAGAAGTAAAAACATATGTCTACACATGACCTTGTACATGAATGTTCATAGCAGAATCACTCACAATAGCCAAGAAATGGAAACCACCCAATGGTCCGTCAACAATGAGCAGATAAACAAGGAGTGTGGGTGCAGACCACTCACACCGGAGTCTTCTCCAGGTACTGTCTCCACCAAAAGGACCTCTCCCACTACGGTCAGCTTATGTCCTGCGACGGTTCAGTGTGGGAGCTCCAAGGCTTGGACCCACTGCAGGACAACTCTAAAGAGTCATTTTAATTCTAGAGAATTCCATGAGGTTGGCTGAATCTTTGGTGTAGCCACACCACGGCTTGCCTTGTTTTGCCCACACCTGTTGCCTTCTTCACCCCTCACAGGTGTTTTCCCAGGCAGCCTCCTCAGTGAACTCCACGCACTCACATTTCTGGGTCTGTTTCCCAGGGAACCACCCGTAAACAGGAAGACACCGACCTGGAGAGCCTGCAGCAGCTGGTTCAGACCACAGTTGATGCTCAGTGACTGTGGGTCACCCTGTGGACTCCTCTTGTGTCCACCTTTCTTGTTATGATGATAATAGGAAAATAAGTCATCCCTGAGGGGTTAGCTAGAAGTTGCGAGTTGGTGGGTGGATTGGTGTTAAATATCACCTAACCTAGTCAGCAACAGACTCTCCAAGCTCTTGGGCCATGGGGTATTTTAATGGGCAATCAAAGTGAACTCATGTGGCTAGCAGAGATGGGCACAAGTTACTTGACAGTCCCCATCAAAAGGAGAGGTCTGTGTCTGCTCTCCTGGATTCTGACTGGGGGGACCTTGGCCTGCTTTGACTGACAGAAGATGAAGGGATACTGTCCCAGTTTCCAGACCCAATCCTGGACAGACTGGAAGTTTCTGGTTCCTGTCTTCTGGAACGCTCTCTTTGGGGTCCCTGAGCTGCCATGTAGGAAGTCCTACTTTCCTGAGACTTTCCTGCTTGAGAGGCCAAGTATGAAAACTCTGATGGACAGTCCCAGCAAAGCCAGGCTTCTATCCATCTCCCTCCCACAGAGCACCAAACATGTGAGTGAAGCTGTCTCAGATCATTCCAGACCCACCAATCTTCCATCTAGATACCACTTAGTGACCTCAGTCAACCCTCCACGGAGCAGAAGAATCACCAGCCAGGCTCTGGAAAGTTCTTGACCCAGAAAATGATGGTATAGCAATATGGCTATGTTTTAACTTGATGTGCAGTAATAGACACCAGCACAACCTCCTCCCGGACCCCTCAACAGCTCCTGTGAGCTCTCTGTACCTCATTAGGAATGGGGCAGGCAGGGGAATGCATTACGATCTCATGTCTATTTTAAAGCCTGGAAGCCAAATCTCTCAGATGCCTTGCTTAAATCTAAACATTGAATTTGTGACCATCCTAGAAGTAGAACTTATTTCACTTAAGCCTTTCATCGAGTGTATTTTTGTTAGACAGGCTTTAGGGTTTTGTTTTGAGCAAACAAAACAATGGTAAATATTTATTTGACAGAACCAAGTAGTGGGTGAGGATGACCTCCCCATCATGGTCCCAGGGGGCTACAGCCCTTTGTTCCTGGGACTGTGGAGCATGGGTTCACAGGGAATCTGTGGTCCGAAGGGTTTAATTTAAAAGGAGACTTTGGAATTAGAGGTATATTCACAAACATACAGGGTATGTCCAGAAGGTATCTAGCCATGTATTATGAAAAATAGAGATATTTATTGAAGATATAAGAAACACTGTACATAGGACAATGACACCTCAGTCCCCTTCATAGTATGCACTTTGGGACCTCACATAGTTCTCCCAATCGCCATCAGCTGCCCCATCATATTTTCCTGAATCTCATCAATGGTCTGAAATCTCTTTCCTTTCAAAGGTGATTTTAGTTTTCGGAAAAGGCAGAAGTCATAGGGCACCAGATCTGTGCTGAAGTGGGGCTAAGTCACCTGGGTGATTTGCAGTTTTTCCAAAAAGCTCTGCATTAGGCATGATACGTGAGTGGGTGAGTTGTTGCGATGAAGCTGCCAATCACCAGTTGCCCTTAGCTGTGGCCTTCTGAATCATCAGAATAGTTTCCATGGAGGAATGTTCATGCTTATCACAATATTTGATGCAGATTCATTTCTCCACTTAGTCATTTTGTGTGTGACGGCCACACAATACACATGCTCACTCAACTGCATCTACCGCCCCCACCGACTAGTACAGTGAAGTCATATTGTTCACACTTGGGCATTCCAGTCCACTCTCCCTGGCTATCAGGTCACATCGACGTGGCACACACCATTCTCATTATATTAACAATGGCTGGACTTTTTCTGGACAGACCTCCTGTACAATAACCCAAGGTTGTGGCTTCTTGGGAAATAGAACTAATTTAGATATTTTTTTGTACTGTCTCCAGAAGTAATTTATTAAGTGTCAGAATCTGGGTCTAGATTTCCCCTTTGTAAGATATGGCCATCATAGTTACACTTTGGTTTCTTTTTCTGAGTAGCTCAGTGGATTAGTTGCTGCCAAGGTTTCTGAGTCTCCTTGGCTCCAAGGACTGACCCATTAAAACGCCTGCTACTGTTTTGGAAGCTACAGGGATAATATGAATTTCAAAGGTCCTACCCTACTTTTACTCTTCTTCAAATGTAGCCCTCCCCCAAAAAACAACAACTTGGAAATGAAGTACTTCAAGAAAGGTAAAGGAGCTATATGTCACTCATTGTTCAGTGTTTCCAGGTGACTGTCCTATAACCGGCAACTCTGGACTCCCTGGGAGAAAGAAGGAGACTAAGGTGGTTGATCCCTTAGTGGGTGCAAATAATCTAAATGTATCTGCCCAGTCCCAGTTCTCAGCACATCCCTGTGAGGAGGGGATTGTGTTTCATCAGTAAGAACACAGAGTCGTGGGGCGGGGTAGGGGACTCCCACAAGGTTTCACTGACAGTGAGGGGTGGAGCAGAGCGAGAGGGGCGGGCAGCAGTTGAACTCAGGTGTGTCTGTTGGAGTTCAAAGCCCCTCTTCTTTCTGCTGTGTGATGCTGCCTTCTGAAAGGGGGTCAGCGAGTCAAGCTTTTGTAGTTGTCTACTTAGGGGGACTGGGAGAGGGAACCCAATCACCAATGCAGCAGAAGATTTTTATGACTAATTCAAACTAGCAATTGTACACAGCACTTCCCTGCACACAAATGCGTGTGGAGTGTGAACACGCATTCTAAAACCCAAAGTCCTTCCATGTCAGTGAGGAATCTTCCTTGGAGTCTTACAGTTCCTGATGTCATTTAATAGGCGATAGGCTATGCAAACAAGGTAATTTAATCACAATGTTACGTCCACTCAAAAATATGCAAAATATGTACATACCTACACAGGTGTGGCCCTTTGAGGCTCTGGTGCCATGAGGGTCATCGTCAGTTGCAGAGGCCAAGGCGTGCAGGGGCAGGAGAAGGAGCACAGGAGCCGCCAAAAGGCCTCTCCAGGGGCACTGCATGGTGGAGCTATGCACCTGGGGAGACCAGCCGGGCTGCAGAGGCCAGGCCAAGGGGGCCGCGATGTCCTGCAGCTAAGGCTGTGGGGTGGAGTGGTCTCCCTCCCCTTCTCTTCCGTCCTCTGACACACTCTCACACACTTTTCAGTAAGTGTGAAGCGAATAACGACACACAAACACTCACAGAGTCACTTGTCACACTGCTTTAGATCCGAGAGAGAGAGAGAGAGAGAGAGCCACCTATGCGCTGGGAAGAGCTGGAGGGGTCTCCACCAGGCAGTTCTTCGGAGATAAAAACGGCTGAAAAAAGGAAAAACCCAAGTTGCGCAGCTGATGGTAAGGCGCATTGCTGGGCTCGCTGGCTGACGGCAGAGCCCGGAAACCTCAGGAACCCCTAGGCTGGCGGAACCGTCTTGGGGGTGGTTAGAAGGCACTTCCTCTTTCATTCTGGCAAAACTGAAAAATTAAGCTGCAGAAAAAAATAATAAAATGAAATCACAAACACACACCCCAGTCACAACTGGATCAGCAATGCCCAGTGATTATAGAAATTATAATTTGTTACATTCAGAAGTGAGTCAATTTTGCTCTAAATAGCTTTATGTGGGGAGGTTGGGCTCCTTATTTTGCTGCTGAAGGAGAATCTGGTCAACTAGTTATTTCCTTCAGAGAAGTTGGATTATTCCTCCAAGGGTCAGGTTTTCTCCAAGACTTTCATTTGCTGCCCAGAAAATGAGCAACACAATCTTGGGCAGGCAGCATGGCTGGATTTTAAAGCTGGTAAGGAAAAAATAAAGGTGCCTGAATGAACTACCTCGAGTTTACAGTATATGGGGCTGTGTGCCACGTGGCTCTTCTCTCCAGAATTTCAAGGCGTGTTTGCATTCCCCACCTGGGGGTGATTCTGCATTTTTAAGAGGGTGATTTTCTGTTTTGAAGATGAGAACTGAAAGCTGTTTTTCTGGAGAAAACAAAAACAGAACCAAATCACTGATAGAGAAAACACATAATCTTAGTGCTTTGCTTTCTAAAACAAGGTACGGTAAAAACAAAACGAAAAATGTTCTTAGCAGTGGTAAAATAAAATTTAAAAATCAGCCTCATTTAATTGGACCCGCAGTCTCCACAGGGTTCCAGAAAACTCTTTATCAAGTCATTCATTCGATGCACATTTATTGATGATCTATTACTGATGATCACCTTCCAGCTAGTCACTGTTGTAAGTGTGGAAGGAAGGTAAGTAAACGGAGAAAGATTTCTGCCCTCACTCAGTGATCGTCTGTGGAGTCACGGTGGACTCACACCTTCTAGTAAACCCATTTATTTAAATACGTTTACACCACACTCATGTGTTGTCATTTTTGGTCCACATGATTAGAGCTGGCAGCTGCGTGGAAGTCCCTGCTTGGGTAACTCAGAAGCCCACCATCCCCACAGAACAGGAAGCTGTTTGTTCTGCTTTGCGTTGTAAGTGGGTGCGGAATTGAGCCCTAGGGCTCGCGTGCAGATCATCACACGGTTCCTAGGCTGACTTGGGGCACATTTCATAGATACAACAAAACAACTGCTTGTGTGGGGAAACAAGTGACATGAGGCTTGTTAAAAATCTGTTCCTAATTGATCACTTTATATAAAACATATTTTATAGAGTCACAGACCCCTTTGCAGTTGTGATGAAAACTATGTATCTCCTGCCTGGGGCGGGGGGAGGAGCACGTAATACAAACACACTAAATTTTACACGTGTATTTTAAAAAAACCACGGACCCCTGAAACCCATTTATTTATTCTGTGGGTTCATGGACCCCAGGTTGAGAACCCTTGGTCTGGAAGCTTTTACTTTTCTCAACTTCTTATTCTGTATCCCGTATGTGTGAACTTCCCGTGAACTGGAGTATTTATTCCTCTTTCAATTTAGGCACTCAGATTGAGAAATCGTGTAGAGTTTGGGCACCCCTGTTCCCACACAAGTATTGTGATAGAATCTCTCTCTGTTGAGATAGAGTGGCAGGGCGAGCCTTGGTCCCATCTCCAGCGCTGTCAGGAGGCGTTGTGTGGGAACCCCCTGCCCAAGGGCTGGTCTCCAGTCCCCAGGCCAGACTTAATATATTGGCTTTCACATCTTTTCAGTTTGTGGCAACAAAACCAAAGTTCCTTTGTGGAGTTTCTACGTAAAATACTCCCCTGAGGAGATTCTCTGATCGATTTTTATTAGAGAGAGAGAGAGAGATTGATGTGAGAGGTCAGTTGCTTCCCATAAGCGCCCGGACTAGGGACTGAATCTGTATGTGCCCTGACTGGGGATCGAACCTGCATCCTTCTGGTGCATGGGATGACACTCAACCAACTAAGCCTGCCAGGGCCACCCTGCCAGTGCTTTTGTATAGTTTCTTTACGTATCTAAGTAACATTTTTAAATTTCAATTTGTATTTTTCCTTTTGCTTTTCACAAAACCTGCCGAACAGCCTCTTGGTCATTTGGAAACCAGTGTGGGTTGTCTCCCTTTCTTCAGCCATGAGGGGACAGTTTCACAGGGTAAAATGGTGACATCAATATTTAGAATCAGTTACAAAAATTATTGTTCAATGTTTTAGTCTAGAAAATGGCCTGCCAAGGACATATATGTTCTAGTCTGGGAACCTGGGAACCTCATGTGGCCAAAGAGACTTTGCAGCTATGATTAAGTTGGATATCTTGACCCAGGGCAATACCCTAGACTAGTTGGGTGGGCCCAACGTGATCACAAGTGCTTCTTGGAGAGAGAGGCTGAAGGGTCAAAGTAAGAGGAGCAGACCTGACAGCGGAAGCAGAGGCTGGAGTGATGCAGAGACGGGGTCATGAGCCCGGAAACGCAGGCAGCCCCCGAGGCCGGGAGTCAGGGAAACAAAGTCTCCAGAAGGAATGCAGCTCCACCAACACCTTGGGTCTAGCCTGCAAGATTCTGCCTGGAATTTCTGACCTCAGGACTGTGAGATATAGTTGTTATATTTTTATCCCTACCTGAGGACATGCTTACTGATTTTAGAGAGAGAGAAGAGGAGAGGAAAAGAGAGGGAGAGAAACATTGATACGAGAGAGAAGCATTGATGGGTTACCTCTCATATGTGCTCTGACTGGGAACCAAACCCACAATCCTCTGGTTATGGGGCGATGCCTCTAATCAACTAAGCCATATTGGCCAGGGCTAAAGTAGTGGTGTTTTCAGCTACTACATTAGTTGTAATTTGTTACGCAGCAGTAGGGGACTGATACAGTCATTAACTAGTTCATTCAAGAAGAACAAGGGATTCAAGTTGAGGTTTCCGGGTCAGGCAGAAAGGAGAGGCAAGCATGCCTTGTCTGAGCCAAAAAAGTGAGGAGAGGAAAGCGAGCGCCTGAGACCTGCGAGCAAGCAGTCAGACATGCACAATGTGACCCCGGCCCTCCGAGCCCAGGGTGAGGGTGGTGGGTGTTGGAAAGATTGAGGAGCAGGGAGCTCTTCCCTCTGCTTTCTGTGGGAAACCCTGGGAGGAGGCCATCCTCGGCGGGCATCTCTTAGCTGCAGGGGTCACTGGAGGCCAAGACAAGTGCAGCACCCCCATGTGGTGGGGAAGGGGGTCTTTGGTGCGGTGCAGAAAGCACTTGGAAATTTACTCATGGCGTGTGGAAGAAGCAGATTTTTATTAAATGAACAAGGTTTTTGAAACTTATTTGCAAAAAGCAGTAAAAACACTTAACTTAAGGCATTCTGAAATTCTAATGTCAGGTTTAGGCCTCGACTTCTGCAGGTTACTGGTGTGGGTGCATCCCCAAAGGCTGTTCTGTGAACAGGCAGGTGAGCAGGGTGAGCGTCTCCCCTTGATTATTATAATAGGCACAGCTAAAATTGATAAAATAATTGTAGGAACCTTGTTTTAGCTGGAGAACCCTGCATAAATAGGCTACACAGATAACCGAGGTGTAAACCTACAATTTCCTTTAAAAAATAGTTTGTTTATTTTCAGAGAGAGGATAAGGGAGAGAGAAAGAAAGGGAGAGAAACATCAATGTGTGACTGTCCCTCATGTGCCCCCTACTGGGGACCTGGTCTGCAACCCAGGCATGTGCCCTGACTGGGAATCACAGCAGTGATCCTTTGGTTCAAAGGCCGTCACTCAACCCACTAAGCCACACTAGCCAGGGCTAAACCTACAGTTTTCTGATGTTAGTATAGCAAATGCAAAAGTAGGGGTGATGAGAATGAAGACATCCTGTGGCCAAGGGGGGCAGGCAGAGTGCTCAGGTGCGGCCCCAGCCAGGGCCAGGTGGGGCCAATGAGTAGGTGTGGAGGTGGGGCCCCAGGGCTTGTGTGCACATTGTTGCAAGGGGCCCACGTTGGCTTTGAGCTCAGCTCATAGATAAAAATAAAACAAATGCTTACGTCAGGAAATTAATGGCCAGAGCCTTTTTATCTGCTCCTAATTGATCACTTTATGTAAAACATCTTACAGAATGCATGGGGAGGGATGCACGGCTGAGAGGGAGCCTAGGAGCCAGCAGCAAATCCCCCAGCTGTGGATTTCAGATCCAGATGCGGCAGCCGTGGCTGCCGGGGCTGTCGTCATGGATGGCAGGGCCGGCAAATGACGCCGTGGGAACTGACATGCGGAGGGGGAACCCTGCTTTTCCCACCACCCCAAAATCTGTCTCATGTCCACATTCACACCCTTCCAAACTTTTAAATAGATGCATATAGTATATTTTATGGAATTAAAGAAACCCTCTTGTTGGAAATTTGACTCATTTCTATGTATTTGTCATGAAAAAAAAACAGACCGTGCTATATATCTCAGAATTGAAAAAATTTCTCCACACCCAGAGGCCATCTTGGAAAGGAGGAAGTGAGGGTGGGGAAAAATAACAAAGAAAAAAAAAGCCTTGGCCGCTGTGGCTCAGTTGGTTGGAGCATTGTCCCCTACACCAAATGGCTGGAGGCTCGATTCCCGATCAGGTCACATACCTGGGTTGCAGGTTCGATCCCCAGTTGGGTTGTATACAGGAGACAACTGATTGATGTTTCTGTCCAATTAAGTTTTCTTTTCTCTCTCTCTCCCCCTTTCTTTCTCTCTCAAATCAATAAACATATTTGAAAAAGAAGAAGAGGATGTGGGGTGATATGGAAGATTGAGCACTTACCCAAAACAGACCTGGCCACCCCAAAGACACTACTCCAACCACAGAGACAAAGAGACTGCTAACAGGCAGGTCGGAGGGTAACCTCTGTGCCTGCTCTCTCCAGGGTGAAAGGAAGATTCTGTCACTGGTAGAAAATGAAAAAGCAGCAGCTTATTCCCATAAGCTGTCAGCGTGTGTCATCATTGCCATGTTGACTTGTGATGACAACAAGGTGGAGGGTCTGTAAGGGGGGATCC